GTAAATTACTTTTTTTCATCTGAGAATGTAGTCATTCAGGAGATGAAAACTCTCAAGACATAAAACTTAAGATCGTTGGTCATCGCATATCATATGGTAGAAATCTTTGTTTCTTTAATTTGGTGCTTACACTACATAAGGTAGATAACAAAACTCTCTTTGTTTCTGCTGTTTTATGAATACTAGTATTATCTGATAACTGAGTATTCTGGTTTGAAGTGTACATATTCATAAATCTTATTCTCTCTTGCAGCGCTCCGACTGTAAAAGACTTTGTCGATCAAGTTACTTATCTTGAGGAATCAAGTGGTACGAATTGTAGGATGGAAGTGAAGTTTGTTACCACGTTAGATGCTACAAGAGAATACTAATCTACTGATAGCATACTGTGAAAGAACAGATCATATTTTATTCCAAGCTTTGCAGATACAAAGAATTCTTTCTTACAGTTTCTCAGTGCAAAATTCTGATCATGAACAGAAAGAAAAATCTTACCATTATCCATTATATATTATCTATGTAGAAGAATAGTAATAGAAGTGAAAATAGCAGCACTGAACAATATCAAGTGCTCAAGAGAAATAGATTAAGCCAAATCATTCTCTTGGGGTGGTAAGTTATTCAGATCGAGAATTTCGTTAATTTTACAGGTCAGATGCACCATTGACACCCTCTTTTCCACCTTCTGCAGGAGCATTTCCTTCTTCTTCCATGGCTTTTCCAGCAGCAGTGGCAGGACCTTGATTCAGATTGGGGACATCTGCAAAATCTTCTTCAGCCCTGAATGATGGCGGTGGCAATGCTACTTTCCATCCAATCAGGATGTTGTCTCATGTGTCCGAATAGGGCTTGAGGAGTTCGAGATGAGCTTGGCTTTGAAGAAGAAGATATCATTGAGTTGTGGTTCATCGAAGTGGAGGTCGCTAGATGGCATCAACATGACAACATCACTTGAAATATGGTTCATCGTTGAAAGTGCTTGAATTATCTCTTTATATGATTGCTTTAGCTGTTTATTGTAAGCATCATGATTAAACATTGGGATATTGTGAAGAAGAAGAAGAAGAAGAAGAAGGACAGTGGTAAGCGCGGTGATTATCCAATGTGAATGATTTTTTAGCATTCAAGAAGGGGTGGAAGGAAATTTTCTTGTACCAATTACCCTTGCCTTACCATTAACAGCTTATCTTAGCATTCAATTCTTTCTTTTCATGCATATGCTAGCTGCATATTGATTAAATGGTTTTAAAAGTTTTTTTAGTTGTAATTATCGATTCCGATGGGATACTTATCAAGAAAATCGAGAAGAGTAATCACGCAAGAAGAATCTGGTAAGATTTCATAAATCTCTTGATTGTTTCGTTGATACTACAGAATTATGTAATTTTGCATCTTTATAGCTCCATAATCGGTAAATTAACAAGTCTATTTCTCATGTTAAAGAGATCATTTTTTATGTAAATATGGTGGTTGCGTCGGCCAACGTGACAATGAATAAATAATAATTCTTTCATGTTGTCCAAAATTCTAGGGTTAATTTTATAAACGGTCACTGAAATTACGTCAAAATCACAAAACGGTCACTGAAATTTAAAACTTGCACTAACGGTTACTGAAGTATCATCTGATTTCAGTAATGGTCACTGAAAGACCTTTTCATTTTAATTTGAACTTAATGGATCAAAATAGTTGAAGCACCTTGAGGACCTAAATTGCAAATTTGACGATAAATTAAAACAAATGCATCTCGACACGGTTCCTTCTTTCCCACCTACCACCACCATCACCGCCTGATTTATTCAGCCCCAACTTCCTCAATCCATTTGCTCTTATCATTTACCATTTTCTCTTTCTTTGCAATGTCGAACCTTGAAACAATTTGAACTAATTTGATTGATTCGTGTTTATCAGAAAAAAAATTTGGGTTCGATTTACTGATTATTTTTTGTTTCGGTAGTTTTAAAAATGGATTTTTCTGAGAATTTATTGGCGATGGAACAACCATGGGGGATGTTCTGTCAAACGTTTGCTGATTCATGGTTTTGCGACGTCTTTTCTAAAGCAATAGAAGCCCTAACAAAAGTATTGCAGAATTCGTTTGCAAATCCATCGATTGAGAATAATTCTAGTCATGAAATTTCCACGGATACGGTTGAGTCTTTTCTTGTTACTCTCGAATCGACGCCTGTGCAGACACCCACTGCCGCGAGAGGTTTACGAAGTGGAGTTCCGGTATCGAAAAGCCGGATTGATGCGCTGACGAGGAAGAAGTACCTCCTCGTCTACCACACTCCACTCCCTTTCCC